AAAGGGCCCCTTTGGCAGTAGGAAACACATAGACTATTATGGAGATTGATTTTGGAATTCAGATGCACTCTTATTGATTGTGCTTGGCTGTACATGTAGATTTTGGATTTCCATTCATTCACTGCTGCACTTCTCTCCCCACCCAGCCCTCCCCCCCAGAGTTCCTTATTTTTCAGTGCAGCATAGTATTCCATTGTGTGAATATACCACAGCTTCGCTATCCATTAATTTGTTGATGGGCACCTGGGTTGTTTCCAACTCCTTGCTATTGTGAAAAAAATTGAAATAAACATGGGTGTGCATAGATCTGCGTGGGTGGCAGTTATGGTCTGTTTGGGGTATATTCCCAGTAGTGGAATTGCTGGGTCAAATGGTATCTCTATTTGCAACTTTTTGAGAAAGCGCCACAACGCCTTCCACAGTGGTTGCACCAGAATCTTCAGCTTTTTTTTTTTATCTTGTGTGCGTGTACTGTCAAATCAGATCTGACTGGTACAGGAGGATATTGCGCCTCCTTCTCCGGCAGAGCGTCTGGTGGATTCGAACTGTGTTCCTCTGGGATTGCAGTGCAGCTTCTTGCCAGTAGGCCACCAGAGCTCCCCTTTAGAATCTTCAGCTGTTTGATGAGCAGACGTGCTCACCATTTGTGGCTCACAGAGAGCTCTGACGACGCAGCCCTCAGGGAGCTGGGGACCCAAAGGCCACCTTTCTCTGGCAGTTCAAATACACCGGTGGCTCCGAGGGAGTCAGATGGACAGGCTCCTCTCGTGTGACGTCCAGCCTCAGAAGCCCGCCGGAGACTCAGCTGTGAGTCGGTTCTGATTCAATGGGAATGAGTTGAGTTTGATGGTTAAGAGTTCGGATACTATGTTAATAAGAGTTTTATGGAATCTCAAACACATTTAGTCAAATCCCCTCATACTGATCCTGCAGGACTTGACAGACGGTCCTGTGAGGTTCTCAGGCGGGAATCTTTACAAGACAGGCTGCTGTACCTACCCCGAAAGTGTGGCTGGTGGGTATCAACCCCCAGCCTTGTGACTAGCAGCTGAATGCCTTACCCACAGCACCACCAGGCCTCCCAAAGATACCACAGAGGAGCCCAGAAAAGATTACTCACTGATATAGTCACTTTATTAAAATGACAAATTAAAACCTATTGTTGTCTTTTCATTCACCTTGCAAATCGTATTCTGCTTATAAATCTAGCAGATTTTTGCATTTGCCTCTCAGGGCCCTTTGATGAACGTTTGGCCCCATTGACAAATTTAGCTAATAACTCCTTTCCAACATGCTAAGCGGCATTTAGGAATATAATATATTCCATTTCATTTTTAAGTTCTTTCATTGTCTGATGAACAGATTCTTTACCAGTGCTTAAGTAATTCCTGCAAATCCAATAAATTAGAAGTAAATATGGAAAATCTTAAAGTTCCCTTCAGTGTTCCAGGGTTATTTATTAGCTGGATACAATTTCCATTTAAAATCACAAGTCAAAATCAGCTACATATTAGAATCACAAATCTAATCATGTTAGAAACTAATCTATCAAATCCTCTTAAACATTATACATTCCTAAAAAATGAACAAGTCTGAACCCCAAATACATTAACGGTACAGATCTGGCTGGCTTCATCTTTTCACTATGGGATTCTAAATACACTCAGGCATGAATAAAGCTCCCAGTGTTGCTGTTAGGTGCCCCCTGGTGGGTCCCACGCCTTAGCAAGCCTGCGCACCGCAGAGAAGGGCTGCCAGCGCCTCCGGCCAGGTCCAGCCAGGTCCTGCACCCGCCTCAGTTGCTGCTGTGTCTCAGCCGTTGGTCATGGCCTTGGCCATTCCCTGTGGTTGAGGATCTTCCCTTCTTTCCATGAGAAAGCAGGAGGCCTTTCTCACGGCACTTCCCCTTCCTGATCCCGTGTCCACAGGACATGAGATGACGTCTTGCTGTCCCTGTGTCTGAGGACCCTTCTGGTGACGTTTCCTCTAAGACACGTCTGTTCGCATTTTCAGCAGTGCACGATACAGTCAGTCTTTTTTCCCAGCTCTACCAGAGGCATCAGTTCTTCTGAGACCTTCGTTGTTCACCATCCAGCTTTCACATGCCTGTGAGGTGATTGGATCGGCGTACCTTAATCTCACAGTGACATCTTAGCCCGTTAGTGCTTCAGAGAGTTCCTTCGCTGTGTATTTGCTCAGCAAAACCTAAAGTAGTTTGATTTACTGACCAGTGTTGATGGTGGATCCAAGTCAAATGAGATCCTTAGTGTCTTCAGTTTTCCCTCTGTTTATCCAGTTATTTGTCCAGTTGTGAGGGTTTTTGTTTACGCTGAGGTGACATGTGGTCCATCCTGAAAGCTGTAGTCTTTGATCTTGATCATTAAGTGCTTCAAATTCTCCCCCCCCATCATTACCATTAGGCCACTCCCAGAAATTAGTGGCTGCCCTCCTAGGGGAATGTTGGGTCTGTATCTCAGTTGGATGAAGATTTTTTACCCAACAGAGAAGTAGAGAGGTTCTCAGTCAGGACACAGATTTCATTTCAGCTGATGGGGACACTGGGGTGACACACATGGTTTGCCTCCATGCCGGCCAGATTCCATGGTGGAGAAGTGGGTGGCTGGCCACAGAACTCACGTGGCTGGTTGATGAAGCCTTTCTCCCACTCACTCTTCTCTTTCCCCGCGAGTCTGCAGTGCCTGTAATTGTTGGATTGTGTTTCTTCCTTAA